GCACGCAGTTCGTTCTTTTTGTTGAAATTAAATATAAAATTTATAATTTCTAGTTTAAAATTTCTTACAATGATGATAGTTATAAAAGAAATAAAGAAGTCTCATCAAGAAACTATTTTATCTCCGCAACAAAGTGTAGAGACGAAATTAAAAGTGCAAAATTGAAGTTGCAACTTAGAGAACTGCTTAGTAATTTAAGTTAATAGTTGATGCCAAGTTATTATAGCTTTGGTATTACTTTATAATTCGAGTACATGTATAATTATAAGCAATATTTTTGTTTACATTGTTGCAAGAGTGAGTAACACTAGCTGTCGCCCGCGACACACGAAATTAAAAAATCTCAGTAGCCTATGTGTTCTTCCTGACTATGTTCTACATCTATACCTAATTTCAATGAGATCCTTTGAGCTATTATGGTGATACCTTCTAACAAACATCCATCCATCTATCAATAGATCCAAACATTCGAATGTTACTTCTTACTAATATTATAAATGCGAATGTTTAGATGGATGGATGTTTGTTTGAAGCTATCTCCAGAACGGCTGAACGGATCTCGATGAAATTTAGCGTAAACATATAACATAGTCTGGAAGAACACGTAGCCAACTTAATTAAGTTTTTTTTAATTCACAGACAGCTAGAATATTATTCAGAAAGATAATCTTTAAAATATAAATAAGAAAGAATCATATGTTTCAGTAGTTAAGCGTCAATAGCCTAGTGGACAAGGGGACGGATTTCCAATCACAAGGTCGGGGGTTCGAATCCCGCCATTCGACTATTGTCGTAAACCATATCCTAGCACAAGCCTAGAGCTTAGTTGGTAAAAGAAATATTAGTAAATTTACAAAAAAAATCTGCTTATATTTCCTACAAAAAAAAAAGTTGTAAAATTTTACGGTTATATTTAATATTATACATTAAACCTCTTTGCTGTGTAAAATATTATGTTTTCATATCACGATTTACTCCAACGAATGTTGAAATATTTCTTAAGGCTGAAGCCACGCCACGTAAACACTATAATGAAGTTGTGTGGATTTACATTTTGATTGAAGGCTACCACGTCTACTGGAAGGAAGGTGCGACGTGATAACGAATTAAGGAGACTAAATCAACAAATATTATTTACTTTTTTACCAGCTTTCAGTTTTCATAGCTATAAATCTTTACGAAAACATTTTAATTGCTTTGCCGTAGGTTTCCAAGACCAATATATTCGTTTAAATCATATTGTTATTTTTGTTTTTTCAAAGATAATAGGGATCCACGATCAGAAAAGTAAGTTTTTATGTATTTTTAGACAATATTAGTTAGAATCATTTGGCAAGAATGACGTGCTTTCGTTAGAAAGTCTAGTGTCAGAATGATTAGTGAGGGGACATAAACGTCGACATTTTAGTAAAGCTAGTGTTGTGCCAGTACACTGGCACAGTGTCGGATTTCCTTCCTAACAGTATATAGGTTTCGAAGTAAAAAGACTTGTCAATGTAACTGCTTGAAGCTTAAATGAATGAACCGATTTTGACGAGAGAGGTGACATAGTAATACATATTCCTTACTTGACTGTTTTAAGTTTTTTTTTTAAATTTAATAATTAGGTTTTGTATCGTGTTATTAATCTAGTTTACCTATATACATTAGTACAATCTTTTTACAATAGTAATATTTTTTTTAAATAATATGTATGTAAAAACATTCGATTAACTTTTAACAAGATTCCCTTCTTTTGTAGACAGAATGTAATACTCGTTCTTTCAGATATCGTGTGAAAGTTTTTCACTTTCAAAGTGACACTTGTTCGCGGCCCGAGGCGGCATGTGACATCTTGCGCCTTCGACTTTGAGATTTGCACTGGATGTAAAAATATGTAGAAATATTCTATTACATTTAATAAAATGATTTCTTATTTGGACTTTTATTTATTATATATGAAATTAAATTCGTGCATTTGTATTTTTTTTATTATAGAGAGGCAAACGAGCAACTTGAATACCCCAAAAAAGCGAATCGAACGCTGCACAAAGACATCCGCAATTAACTCTCGCAATGTTCTCGTTAATATTCGTAATGGACCCTCAAAGATTTTTTTATTATTGACATATGAAAATTATAATTATTATAATTAGCCGAGGCATTCTATAAAGTCAATAAGACAACATAAATTATCAATATATGACAAAGTTTACAAGTGATAGGAGTGTCAAATTACCAACAACAGTGCACAGAACAAGTCACTTGCAGTCGAAGCTAAGACTTATGTTTGTTGGGAAACTTTGGCAGCGACATTAGTATTTGAAGCGTCGATAACATTTATTTAATCCATGTGAGAAGTAAGTATATATAAATATTGGTTTTATTAGAACATTAAATCTAGCTGTCGCTGTCCGTCCGCGTGAGATTAAAAATAAAAAAGTAGCTTATGTCGTCCTAGTAGTCTTCCAGACTATGTTCTACAGCAATGCCAAATTTCAGCGAGATCCATTTATCCGTTCTAAAGATATCTTCTAAGAAACATCCATTCATACGTCTACACATTCGCATTTAATAACATTAGTAAGATAATATAATTATAGTTATTTTCATCTCATCAATAAGTCCTTAAATAAAATAGTAACAATGTCATGCAATGTACTTCAAATGTACACATGCCACAACATTGCTGTGATTAATTCGACAGGCGTTGTTAATAAACTACATTTGAAAGTAAAATAACCTAAAAATGTGTATTTTGAATTAAATTAATGTTTGCATGAATGGATGGATGTTTGATTGAAGATATCATCAGAACGGCTGAACGGATCTTAATGAAAATTGGAAGAACAGATAGAGTACTATTTACCTTTTTTTTAATTGCGTGCGGACGGAATCGCGGGTGGCTGCTAGCATTTTATAAAGTTTTAACAAGATGTTATAAAATTAATAATCAGACCTATTAAAGTAACTTCGAATTTTTTTATGTCCTTAATCAATCGATATTTATATCTAATAAAATAAATAAATACAAAAGTAATAAAATAGTAGAATTCTTTCACTTTTACCAACCGAATATCGGCGTGAAACATTTCCACAAAAGTCCAGAAAAGTCTCGAATTGTTAAAATGTATGGCAAAGAAGATAGGAAGAAACGGCTTGCGACACGCCGCTTGAGGCGGCATGGAACTTTAGCCACGAACAAATGTAAATCTAACATTTGAATACTTTGTGGGTTACATCTTGACATTTTACCTCAACGAAATAAGAAATTTAACCTAAAATCACGCATATTTTTAAAAGAATCTCTTCATGTTTAAACTATCTATTCATGTCAATGAAATTGAAGTGTGTGTTTGTAATATTAAAAAACCGTTTTTACTACATGTACATATATGAATATGGTACACACATCAAAATCAGATTTTTCACAAATTTTGTCTATATGTCTGTTTGTTTGTTGCGGCTAATCTCTTAAATGGATGGACCAATTTTGACGGAACTTTTTTTGGCAGATAGCTGATGTAATAAGGAGTAACTTAGGCTACGTTTAAAAAAATTCTAACAGTGTTAGAGCGCGCTTTAACATCTTCGCACGAATCGGCCCGGCTCGACCGGTGAAATACCACGACCACACAGAAGACAGGCGTGAAGTGGAAGCTATTCCGCGTTTCGTCTGGTGAGTGTGCGTCCCGGAGGCCTAATTTAGTCCTCTTTCCCTTGCCACCTTTTTTCTTATAAGGAAAGGATGGGAAGTGGAAGTGGACTTTCCGGACGAGAGGATGCATGGAAAGGGAATATATTTTTTTTCGGTGCATCCTCTCCTCCGTCGATTAAAGGTAGGCAAGGCATATGCGGTTGCGTATGTCTATGGGCAAAGGTCACTTCGCTATATCAGCGATTTCAAGGTGGCCGCTCGCTCGTTTGCCACCTTATGATATAAAAATATATATATCTTAGAAAAACAAAGTAATATTGCAATGTCGAATGACTGTCGAAAGAACGCGGACGAAGTCGCGGGCACGACTAGAAAGTTAACATAACATCTGTCAAGCAAAAATCATCGATCTTTGAAACAATACTGTGTTTTAATTTATGTCACGGCAATGAAATCCCACGGTTAGTTACTAAATTGTATCCATAACAAATTATGAAAGAAAATAATTGCAATAATACCGCAAACGTAAGAGGCTTTTAATTTTCCTTTAAAGTTCTTTATTGTTATAAGATTGATAATCCAATTTGTGTTAAATTGTTTCCCAGTTCCCGTTCGCTTTGAATTAATTGAATTGTTTTGAATTAATGTCTGTTTAATATTAACAAACTTATCGACTTAAATATTTTACCTTTATTACGTCACATTTGAGATGACTTGCAATCTGCAGGTCCTGGGTTCGAATCCAAATGTACCAATGTCTTTTTCGAATTCCATTTATCCGACGTTCTTATGGTGAAGTAAAACATCGTGATGCAACCTGCACATGTCTGAGGAGAAATTCAAAGACATGTGTGAAGTCAACCAGCCCGCACTCGGCCAGCGTTGTTGACTATGGCCTAATCACCTCACTTAGGGTAGGCTCCGAGACCCTCAGTGGGGACGTATAGTGAGCTGACGATGACGTCACATTTTGTCACTTTTATTAAAAGATTTACCATTACTATGAACTATCTTACTAATATTATAAATGCGAATGTTTAGATGGATGTTTGAAGGTATATCTACGGCTGTATGGATCTAGATGAAATTTGGCATACACGTAGAACATAGTCTGGAAGAACGCATAGGGTACTAAGTTTTTTTTTAATTCCACGCGGACAGTCGCTGGCGACAACCACTTTTTCATACTTTTCAAAGATTAACAGAATTAATGCAAGCAAAATGCAAACTAAAACTCCTTACTCGATAGTAAATTAAACAAACATTGATTATTATTATCATTGCATATCTCTTAATCAAAGCCTGATAACATTTCTATATAAATAATGTTTCCCCGTATTTATCAATAGAATACTCTAAACAAGATTGCATTAAAATGTCTTACAACTTTATTGGTGAAGTCGAAAATATAAATACTAGTCAATTCGAATTTATAAGTAATGTGTTAAATGAACAAGGATATAAAGGAACAGATGTGAATGTAAGAAATGTTGGTAAAAAAGGTGATAATTATGGATCAAGAGTGAAAAGAATCGAAGTAACATTTGATGATGGAAAAGAATTTAAAATGATAATAAAAATAGCACCCGAAGACTCAATATTACGAGATCAAATAAATGCGAACGACTTATTTAAAAACGAAATTGTAATATTTAAGAAACTATTGCCTAAGTTAACAGAAATACAAATAAAGTATGGTGTACCTGATGAAGACATATTTAAATATCCAATTTGTTATAGATCTAATGATGAATTGAAAAATGAAATAATACTATTAGAAGATCTTGGAATGCGTAATTTTCAAATGTTAGACAAAACAACACCATTAAACAATCAAGCTGTAAGACTTATCCTTAAGGATTTAGCAAATTTCCATTCTTTGTCTTACATTTTGAGGAACAAAGATCCTGAGTTATTTAAAAATTTTATGGGTACGTTAGTAAACGCAATGATAAATGAAAAAACTATTCAACAAACTCAAATGTTTTTCGAACATACATTAAATGATTTAAAGACAATATTTGATAATGATAGATATAAAAATGTCATCACTGATGTAACACAATATTTAATAAAAGGTTGGATGAAATTAATGAACAGTGACGCAGGATCAAAGTACAGCGTGATTCAACATGGTGACTTATGGACTAACAATATCATGTTTCAGATGCAGGTTGGTATTTCATTTAGGACACAAAGAGAGCTACATGTATAACAAGAGCACGCATTGTTAAGATTTAAAAATATACTAATTGATATTTGTGTGATTTAGTAACATTAATTTATATTTCCCTGAAGTGACAAGTACTTGTCACCTTTTTTTGTTTAAGTTTTGTTTATGCTATCTTCTTAAATTTCTTCATTTGTAAGGCTCTTATAATTGTTTTGTAATAAAACTGGCACTCGGTTTGCACCGCAACATTTGTCAGCCTTTTACGTTTAAGCTATAATACATTTAAATTTATAACAGTGGATTTCTGAGACCAAAATCTCAGTTTCAAACATGCTATCTCTGTTTTGTCTAAGATTATTGAGAGGGGTATTTATGTTTTATACAGAGTTGGTATCAACGGTCAGATTTTTGAACTAACCAAACACTAATATATAATTACAATTTTCCAGGGAGACCAACCTAATGACTGTATATTCATAGATTACCAGCTCTCCAGAGACAGTCTACCCGTTTCGGATATACATTACTTATTATTCAGTTGCACAGATTATCAAACGAGGTCCAAGCACTATCATGAATGGATGGACTACTATCATTCTGAATTGGACAGATATTTATCATATTTCGATCTTAAAGTTAATTACGTTTATCCCAGGGATAAATTCGATGCTGATTTGAAGAGATACGGAAAACCTGGACTTGGAATAGCATTTGTTATGGTCAATTTTGCACTCAGACAAACACAAGAAGCAGCTGATCTGACAAATATAGATGGCACTAATCTACCAGACAATCTTAAAATAGGATCACTTATGAATAAGACTGTGGTATCGATTAAGGAACGTATAGAAGGTCTAATTGAAAGCTGTTTTGAGTTAGGATATTTGACTGAACCATCAAATGCAAAATTTAAATAGATTTTAATTAAAAAAAAAGGGAAATTGACATTTTGAAGTTATTTAATATCGAATAAATGTAAAGAATGATTTTATGAGTTTTCGTACGTGAATCCATGTATAAAATTAAATATTTTTTTATAGTCATACGATAGCAATAAATTGTAACATTAGTAAACTGCTTACATATGAAGTTTTATTAATTTTATCAAGTTTTTAAAAAACTCAAAATCTATACTAATATTACAAAGCGGAAGAGTTTGTTTGCTTGTTTGTTTGTTTAAACGCGCTAATCTCAGGAACTACTTGTACGATATGAAAAATATTTTTTTTGTTGGATAGTCCATTTATAGAGGAAGGCTTTAGGCTATATAACATTACAATACGACCCAATTTTTTTTTTATTCCGCGCGGCCGGAGTCGCGGGCGACAGTTAGTATGAAATAACTCTGAAAAGGGAAGTCACTGAACTGTAACTTAAACCTTATATATCTTGACCAATAGTTTCTTTAGAGTTAACCTAAAACCTTTGACCTTACTTTATTAGAACCTCTGGTGATACATTCGCCCTACATCATAAAATAATACTTTCAAAATAAAATAGCAATCATTGACAAACATAGCAACGTAACAATAAAATTATAGAATAAAATAATTTAATGAATTTCATAAATGAAAAGTAAAATAAGTTATTAAATTTGGTCTTAGCAAATTTTACAACAATTTGCAGTGCACAAAATCAACGTTTGTTATTTTGGTAGCAATATCTCCAAGACTGCAGTTACACGCAGCGCCTGCTAAATTACAACGAGCAACGTGTTGCGGCTGTTTGCGGTAACAAACGCAACAGTGTAATTCTTGGTTGTAGATAAATTTACATTGAGAATATTCGTACTGTCCATAAAACTAGCACTGTCATGTACAAGAAACATTAAAATGTAAACGGAATATTAAAAAACATAACAAAGATAAAGAAGCAGTACAGAATTCCTAAGACACTGAACCGAAGCTATGTAATTTACAGTTATTCCAATTAACGCACTAAATTGGATCCGTGTAGATAAAACTAATCGCTTCATATCTGTAAACGTAAAAATGATAAAACAGATTATGTACAAAAAATATGACTATTTTAAAGCAGTCCATACTGATTATAAAATGGTTTACAACTTTAAAGGAGAAATAGAAGGCATTACTAATAATCAATTCGAATTTATAAGTGAAGTGCTAAAGAAACTAAAGTGCCAGGGGAAAGAAGTATTAGTAACCAACGTCGGAAAGATAGGGGACAACTATGGTTCACACATCAAAAGATTCAAAGTGAATTTACAGAACGGTGATGAATTTAAACTGATAGCCAAAATTGCACCAAAAAGTATGATACTTCGAGATGATAAGAATATTAATGAAATATTCATTAACGAAATTGTCATATTTAAAGAATTACTACCGAAATTTATAGATCTACAAAAAGATTTTAATGTACCAAAAGAAGATATATATAAACATCCTATTTGTTATGGAACTCTAGGAGTAGCTGGAAGTGAAATGATTCTTTTAGAAGATTTGGATGTATCCAATTATGCGATGTTAGACAAAACTAAGCCTTTAAAAAATGATTATGTAAAAACTGTTCTTAAGAATTTAGCAAATTTTCATTGTTTATCCTACACTTTAAAGAATAAGGACCCAGAAATATTTATGAAATTTATTGGAAGATTAGTAAATGCGACTGTCGATACAAAATCTATAAATGAAACAGAAAAATTATTCGAGAAAACTTTAAATGATTTATTAGAAATATTTGATGACGATAAATATAGAAACATAATAAGCGACGTAATGCAATATTTGAATAAATCCTGGATAGAATTTTTAATTTGTGATTCAAGTTCAAAATACAGTGTTATCCATCATGGTGATCTGTGGACTAACAATATTATGTTTCAAATACAGGTTAGTAAATTATTTCTCATTTTAGAACAAATTAATATTTTATCCCTTTATTCTTCACCCAGGTAAAAGTAATGAAATTGAATGTGAAAAAAGTATGTAATGACTGTGTGAAAGGGGATATGCGTAAGAAGGGGGTAGACTCGGTTATGACGGCTGATACGAGATGTATGGAGGAATTTTACATGCTGTGCCGACCCTCGATAGGGATAAGGGCAGGTTGATGATGATTCTTTACCCAGGGAAGGTTAACAGTTAAACCACGATTCAATTTAAACACATAATATATTTTTTTTACCTTACTAACATGCCCGTTTAGGTTATCATAAATGCGAAAAATTTGAATGGATGGATGGGTGGATTTTTGTTAGAAGGTATCTCCAGAATAGCTTGTGGACATAGCTGAATTTTGATAAAGACATAGAGAATCGGCTGGAAGATCTCATACGCTTCTAATTATTACGTTTTAAGCTCCCATAAATGGAGTCGCGGGCGACAGCTAGTTTTACTATAATATTATAAATGCCAATGTTTAGATAGATGGATAGATGAGTGTTTGAAGGCAGCACCAGAATAGCTTTGTGGATCTCTTCATAATTTGGCATAGATGTAGAACATAGTCTGGAAGAACACATTGGCTACTATTTTTTTTATTCCACGCAAATGGTGTTGCCGGCGACAGCTAGTAATATACTAATATTTATCAGAATTATAACAATCTATTGTCTATTGTCTGTATATTACCTTGTCTCTTTTTCAGAATAATCACCCACTTGGATGTATACTCATTGATTATCAACTCTCTCGAGATAGCCTCCCCATTTCTGATTTACATTACTTCATATTTAGTTCCACCGATTATGAAACTAGATCCAAGCACTATAATGAATGGATAGATTACTATTTTACGGAATTAGACAGATATTTGAATTACTATGATCTTAAAGCTGATTGTATTTATCCTAGACATAATTTGAATGCTGATTTGAAAAGATACGGCAAATATGGATTAGGGATTTCTTTCGTAATGATTAATTTCTTATTAGGACAACAACAGGAAGTGAAAGCTGAAGTTATAAATATGAATGGTGAACCAGATAATGTTAAAGAAGAAAAATCATTAAATGACAGTTTAAAAACAATTAAAGATCGTATAATAGGCCTTATTAAAACCTGTGTAGAGTACGGCTATTTATCTTATAATTTAGAGGAAAACATTTGAAAAAGTATATCACGATTTTACAGATACTAAAGACTACAGGCTTATTGTTAGCGAATAATGTATTTTTGAACTATGTTATCTTAGTATTTTCAATGAATTCGAGTAGAAAACTTTAAACGCTAACTAAGAACGCTTCTCAAGTATCAAAGAGTAATTTGAAATTGGGAAAGAATTCAAAATCTGAATAATTTCAATCTAAAAGCAATAACATTTTTAGTAAAGTAAAATATATAGTGATATTGCTTAAAAAGGATATGTTAAAGCTAGATTGGGTGCATCATGAGATTCAACATTGGATACATTGAGGGATACAAAAGAAACGCCATTTTTAATTTTGGATAAAATTGTCGTAAGTAAATTAACAAATTATCGATGAATAAAACTTAAAGTATTATATGATCGTGTAGAAGGGTTATAAGCTATTTGGTTAAGGATATATATGTGAAGTAGAACAAAAATTTAATAAATTTTCTTTTAAAACTTTTTTATTTTGTTTTTTTTCATGCGACGTATTACGTTACCCAAATACTAAAGACTTCTTATAACTTATCAATCTTTAGTTACACATCAATTGTCCTACAATAACATATCTCAACAACAAAAGTAAACAAATCCTAGATAAAATTTCTTTATAAAAGACGAAGAAAAATATTGATCGTCTTTGTTATCAATTTGAAAGTACTAAAGCGAAATGATTCTTAACATTAAAGGAGATGTAGACAATATTACTAAAAGACAATTAGAATTTATAAGTGACGTGCTCAGCAAGCAAAGAATCGTCGTGAATAATGTGGTCATAGAAAATGTTGGTGAGAAAGGTGATAATTACGGTTCTCAAGTTAAAAGAATTAAAGTTCAGTATAAAAATGGCGGAGAATTCAAAATGATAGCAAAAGTGAGACCGGATAATATGAAAATACAGAATCAAACAGTGAAATCTGTTTTCATTAATGAAATTATTATGTTCAACGAAGTACTACCTAAGTTCAAAGAGCTGCAAGAAAACGTATTTGTTCCAAAAGAAGATTTATTTCAATATCCTCTTTGTTATGGAACTCTCGATGAAAGAGACAATGAGATTCTACTGCTAGAAGATCTAAGTGTATCCAATTTTTTTACATTAGACAAACTTAAGCCATTGGACAATGATACAGTAAAACTTGTTCTGAATAATATAGCAAATATGCATTCTTTGTCATGTGTATTAAGAAAAAAAGAACCGCAATTATTTAATAAAATTTTAGATGCATTATTTCATCCTTTGTTCCATCCTAATAATATGACTAAGACACGAATATTTTTGGAGAATATTCTAAAAGATTTTGAGGCTGTTTTTGAAACTAGTAGATATCGAAATATAATTGTTGATATAATGAACGTTTTAGTTAACGCTTCAATGGAATTAATGTCAAGTGATAGCAAGTCAAAGTACAGTGTTATTCAGCACGGAGATTTATGGACTAACAATATCATGTTTTTAATTCAGGTTTGCATTTACGTCTTTCCTACAAACATACAATCTTTAACAGTGGTGGAGCCCGCTTTAACATCTTCGCACGAATTGGCCCGGCTCGCCCGGTGACATACCACGACCACACAGAAGACAGGCGTGAAGTGGAAACAATTCCGCGTTTCATCTGATGAGTATGCGTCCCGCAGGCCATATTTAGTCCTCTTTCCCTTCCCACTTTTTCTTATAAGGAATGGAAGGGAAGTGGACTTTCTGGATAAGAGGATGCATTGAAAGGGAAAATATTTTCTTCCTGTGCATCCTCTCCTCCGTCGATTAAAGGTAGGCAACGCATATGCAATTGCGTATGTCTATAGGCAACGGGCACTTCGCTATTACAGCGATTTCAGGTGGCCGCTCGCTCGTTTGCCACCTTATGATTTAAAAAAATCAATAATCTAATCTAATTCTTTAAAAAGTCATATTTTCTTTATCTTAAAGTTAATCGTACAAAATATCAATTTATCAATGTTAAACTAATTGTAAGTTTTCTTTCAGGATAATCAAAAACTTATGTGTACGTTCATAGATTATCAACTCTCCAGAGATAGCTTACCAGTTTCTGATATTCTATATTTCATATTCACTTGCACAGACTATAAAACACGATTGAAGCACTATCTTAATTGGATGGATTTTTATCATTCAGAATTAGATAGACATCTATCATATTTCGATCTTAAAGTCGACGATGTTTATCCAAGACAAAACTTTGACGCTGATTTGAAAAGATACGCTAAACCAGCGTTGGGTATGTCATTTTTTGTGTTAAATTTTTCATTAAGATCACCACAAGAAGCACCTGATTTAGTAATGGCGAATATTGATGGAACTGAACAAATACCTCAATTCAAAATGGGAGCCTTATCGGACAAAACCTTTGAAACAATTAACGAACGCGTCGAAGGAGTTATCGAAAGCTGTTTTGACTTTGGATATCTAACTGATGTAAATAGAATATAATTATAACAAAACTTTGCCAGTATACAATTTTTATTTTCAAAAATAAACTGTTTGAATATTGTTTCAAATTATTTTTTTTTCTTGAAGGGGGATCAAAATAAAATGGCTACTGTGAAATACATTTTTGCTGAGTAACTTTCGAAGCTGAAATGATTAGGTCCTTATCGATTACTCATATCTAAAAACAACGGTAATCAAATTTCGATATCGGAAAAACATATATAAATACCTAATATTAAAACTCTTTCTCATAGTGACAAAAGTTTTATTAACTATAGCAAAATGTCTTACGAATTTAAAGGAGATTTGGAAAACATAAGTCAGCGGCAAAAAGAATTTATCAGCGAAGTGCTAAGAAAACAAAACTACACAGGAACAGAAGTGATTGTTGAAAATATCGGCAAGAAAGGAGATAATTATGGCTCTCAAGTAAAAAGAATCAAAGTAATATTTGATAATGGCAAAGAGTTTAGAATGATAGCGAAGATATTACCAGATTCAATGAAAGTGGAAAATCAAATGAATTCATACGATATTTTTACTAATGAAGCAATCTTATTCAATGAAGTATTACCAAAGTTTAAAGAGATGCAATTAAAGTATGATTTACCTGAAGAAGAAATATTCAAATATCCAATATGTTACGGTACTTTGATGGAGAGAATGAATGAAACGATATTATTAGAAGATCTTGTTATGTCAAATTTCACCATGTTGGATAAAACTAAACCATTGTATAATGAAACAGTTAAACTTGTGCTTAAAGATGTAGCAAAATTTCATGCAATGTCATACGTATTGAGAAACCAGGAACCACAAATGTTGGACAAACTTTTACAGTCGTTGGTTAATCCAATGTTCGATCCAAAGAATATGGCACAATCGCAGGTATTTTTCGAAAAAGCAGCAAGTGATGTGGTAGCAATATGTGATAATAGTAAATATAAGAATATTGTTGTTAACATATTGCAGAATTTAATGACACCCTGGTTGAAATTGTTCCTGTGTGACAAAGGCTCGAAATACAGTGTTATTCAACACGGTGATTTGTGGACTAATAATATTATGTTTCAGATTCAGGTATGTAATAATTATTTTTTTTTAAATCAGTAATAGACGCAACCACCAACAAATTCTGCTGAACGAACGGGCCACAACCATACAGAAAACAGGCGTGAAGTGGAAACAATTTGCGTTTCGCCTGATAAATGTGTCCCCTTTTTAGTCCACTTTTGTTCTCCTTTTCTTATAAAGAAAGGTTGGGAAGGGGAAGTATGTTTAACGTAGGATAGGACACATAGGAAAGAGACATATTCTCTTCTGTGTCTCCCTTCGTCCGTTCTATAATTGCAGATATCTGTGGGTAGCGGTCGCTTTACTATTTTGGCGTATTCAGGTGATCGCGTGCTCGTTTTCTACTTACTTCTCTACTTATTAGACGATACGTTCTCTTCGTACCAATACCAATTTTAATTTTATACTATGATACTAATCTTAATTTTGTACGTAAAATAAGTGATAACCTAAAATTTATATCTTTTCAGAATAACCAACCAGCTAGTTGCGTATTTCTGGATTATCAAATGTCTCGTGACAGTCTCCCAGTTTCTGATATCCATAACTTTATATTTAATTGCACAGACTATGAAACGAGATCGAAGCACTATCACGAATGGATGGATTACTATCATTCAGAATTGGACAGATATTTAAATTATTTCGGTCTCAAAGCTAACTATATTTATCCTAGAGATAAATTGGATGCTGATTTGAATAGATACGGCAAAGTATATTTAGGTATATCATTTTTTGTATTAAATATTACATTGAGAGAAGCACAAGAAGCGGGAACTTTGGTAATTGAAGATAACGAAGACGGAACAGAACAAATACCAATGTTCAAAATGGGAACACTTATGGAGACAACTAAAGAAGCTATAAAGTGTCGTATCGAAGGACTTATTGATAGTTGTTTCGATTTGGGATATATGAACAAAAATCTACTTTCTATAGAACCTTTAAATTAAATCTTAATTTTATTACTACATTTGTTTTAATTTATCAAACCCTAGCTGTCGCCCGCGACTCCATCCGTGCGGGATTAAAAATAGATGTTGGCCGATTCTCAGACCAACTCAATATGCTCACAAAATTTCGTGAGAATCGGTGAAGCCGTTTCGGAGAAGTATGGAAACGAAAATTGTGACACGAGAATTTTCTATATAAGATTATCTAAAATTACGTAGCAAATTTAGAATTTCGTAAGACGGAAATAATAACCAATTTTAACCCGGATATAGCCTTATCGGGTTTCTTTAACTATCTAAATAAAATAAAGCTGTCATATATGTAGAACGTAGTCTGGAACATAGGCTACTAATTAAGTTTTCTAAATCCGCGCAGACGGAGTCACAGGCGACAGTTACAACAAAAGAATGAATGTAAAGCTGAACATCATAGATATGTCATAGACAAATATATCTAAATCTGATAAAGGTATGTAACTCCGTCATTTCCTACAGAATTATAGGTAAAAAAGGACCTTCAAAGACAGATAGAAGGACAACAAAGTGATCCTAAACGGTTCTGCTTTTTCCTTTCAAGGTACGGAACCCTAAAAAACAAATACTAATTGCCATATCTCTGTCACATTTTTATTTATAATATTTATTTATTTTTCAATCCGTAACCATAGCAACTGAATTTACATCGGTAAAGTAATTTCACTTTTCGTATACCAATTTGAAGATAAAAAGAACCATTCTTATCAAAGGAATGGCTTAAAGGCACTGCCTAAAGAACCGTGCAGTTTTTTTATATACAGAATTGTGCTCCTTTGTAAACAACAGTGTTCCGATTACGTGGATACAGGGTGTATAAAATAATGTTTTCAAACGAAATATGTACTAACTTAACCCAACTTGATGAATATATGTATGTTTTATTAATTAATTGATATAATTAAAAAATGGCTTGTTTCGTGGATAGCCTCAAAAGACGAACACTTCTGGCGTCAAGGTATTCGAGCTCTACCAGAAAGATGGGAAAAAGTTGTATCTAGCGATGGGCAATACTTTGAATGATTCATTTGTAACCATTTTTAATAATAAAGTTATATTTTTATCGAAAAAAAAGCGAGAACTTAGTTGCGCACCTAATAAAATATTTTAACAAAGACGATACTGGGCTATATTTTTGTCCACGATATGGCCCAATTGTGGTCGCCTAGAATTTTTATTCTGCGCATATCCATATATAGAATGATGAGATTAGCTTTGCAAGGAGCAATCTGCCGCAAATGTTTAGATGGATGGATGTTTGTTAGAAGGTATCTCCAGAACGGTTGCTTGGATCTTTCTGAAATTTGGCATAGATGTAGAAAATAGTGTAGAAGAACACAAAGGTTACTAATTTAGTTTCCAGCTCTTCCTTACGTTAATTAAAAACCTGTTATTAAAGGATTTACTCTTCTTTGTTATTCAAACAATTTAAAACAAAGTCATATACTTTATGATTTGATGCTATTCATTTATTCAGTGTAAAATAAAGATTATTCTAATCTACGTGTGATAATAGTCTGTTTTACAATTACATTTCCTTGTAATTTATTTTCTTCGTCTCTATCCATTGCTGCTTTAGTATAGCAACTAATAAATACCAGTATTAAAATTAATACATATCTTTCAATGTATCTTCAATTTCAATATAAAATACGTAAATCTATTACCGTGAGTTTACGACACCAAAATCTCTAATTGAAAAATATCGTCATCCCTGTCTTTATCTTTGACCAAGACAGGGTATTCTCTGCATTGCTGTCTCTATTTTTTCAAAGATAATAAAAGAGATGACAATATGTTTTAAACCAGTATGACTACAGTACGAAATTTCATTTCTTTTTTTTTTCAAACAAAAGGTAAGGCTTTTCTCAAATCAAAGCCAGACCTTTAGGCAACAAACTTTGGAAAAGGAAAAATAATATATCCGTGTTCTTTGTGTCAAACGAATCGCCTTGGGTTGTAAAGATAGTCGGTATTCTTGTCTTTACATGTTTAAAAAACAAACAGAGCGTGATACTATGAGCTTACTCTCTCGCCTAATCGAGATTCTACTGTTATAAAAAGTGACCTGGCCAGGAAACGGTTGGGGACTTTTTATTTACAATATCTTAACATATTGCAATTTATCGATAGAGTCCATGAACTCTAAACATGGAACTGGAAGAAATTTCTTTTGAAGAGCAATTTCGTGGGACGACAGACCAACGGAAACAAATCTACCAGAACACAAAGAAAGCTTTCTTTTAAAGTGCAGTTTTGTGGGACGTCATTACGTTGTATTTTCGATATATGACTTAAATTGCCAAGCGGTAGTTAAAGTCATAGTTATGTCATAGATAAGTAGTTCCCAAACTTATTTTGTCTACTTCACTTTCATCCACTTTGAGTATAAATATTTTTATAGCGCCCCCATATTTTCACATATTTAAAAATTACTATAACTTCAAATTAAATTAATTAATTGTTGTGACCTATATATGTATATTAACGGAGAATTCTAAACGAAACTTTCACTATAACCCGCAACTTGAGACCAGCAGCGCCCACAAGGGCCATCGCCCACTTTGGGAAAGACTGTCATAGATGTACTGAAAAAAAAGGAAAGAAAGACAACACACTATAACATATTGTCAACGACACATCAATGGAAATACGTATAAGTTTTTATGACTGATAAAATATTTTACTGTCATAATATTCATCTGAGACGCGTCACAAAGGGAATTCTCAAAAGGCTTCTGAATAAAGTACATTCGATAGCAATAAAAATAAACCAAGAGGAACAAAAATGTGTTCGCACGTTCTCTCAATTATATGTTACATGAAAACGTATTTTTATTTGACAAATATATTGTTTATTGTTTCATTCATTTTCCTCTCCTTATCCCACACACGTAGTTTCTAGTCCTCCAGATCCGACTATAGGGTTGGTACACCAGTTTTTGGTCCTCCAGATTCATCTATAGGGTAGGTGCACCAGTTTTTGGTCATCCAGATCCGACTATAGGGTAGGTACACCAGTTTTTAGTCCTCCAGATCCGACTATAGGGTTGGTACACCAGTTTTTGGTCCTCCAGATCCATCTATAGGGTAGGTGCACCAGTTTTTAGTCCTCCAGATTCATCTATAGGGTAGGTGCACTAGTTTTTAGTCCTCCAGATCGATCTTACGTCCGTAATATCAAATCACTGTTTTCTTAATTTAATTTTCATGTTACTGTTCACACAATCTGCATCTCTACCTGGGCTTCACATTATTGATGTATATGGTACAATAATATTTAAAATTTTCGTTGTAAAATACGACTCTTTCCGCCACATAATACCCATACCATCATCCTAACCTTTTGCTTCTTGATTTTTCCACACATTTTTACCCATTCTTCTTTTAAGCTTTTTTTTATTTGTCGTAGATTTCCACTGCTGTGGCATTTGTACTATACATGTTATCGTTCTTTATATTACCTTTGAAAAAAAATCAGAGACGACAATTTGTACACGGGTTTCTGCATTAGAAACTCATTATAAACGTCAAATTATAATTTCTTAATAAAATTACGTAAAACTAAACGCACACATTGTTGAACATAATTAATAATTCGCATGATTGATTTTATAATCATGAAAACGTAATAACACTTTCGAATGTACAGTACGAGTATCGAGTGAAAACGGTGAAATCGATTCCATATAATCGATTTTCTAGTTCAATCGTATTTTAGTATCGAACATGCGCGCTGAAATAACTATTTTTGTGATTATGGTAAATATTTTGAGTTTGTGTGATATATCGGATACAGATTCAGATTTGTCTGTTTTATAAAAAAAACATCTGTAACCGCTGGTTTCTGAGACTCAAATCTTTGTATAAAACATATCGTCATCCCTGTCATTATCTGTCTAAAATACAATTAATATGTATTTAACAGAGATTTTGTCTCAGAAACCCGCGATAAGTTTGTGATGGATAAAAGTACAATTTTTGTAAATAAATAAATCATTCTTTTTATAAAATAGTTCATAAAATGTTGTAAAAGTTGTAATAATTCATAAAAGTTCATAAAATTTTATCAAAGTGAATTTTTTACTCATAAGTTTTATCAACTAAACTATGCGTAGAGTTCTAAATATTATTATTTTTTCATTCAGTTAACATCAGCAGCAGCGTTGAAATTTGTTGAAGACGATTTACTCCTGTTTTGGCGAAGAAGTAAGTTATTTACGCATCTTTAAGAAACTAGTCGCTATACAATGGTCTCTGAGCATTCGATTGATGATGCCACGACCCTCTTAATCGTACTTGAACTTGGCCACAAGGTCTTAGTGAGTCGGTATCTCACATAACCCTGTATTTCCTCCTAAAAGTAGGGTATCTTACGTAGATCCCCCAATACAAAAAAATTGTCAATAGAATAGAAATAACTATTAACCTTTTAATATTATACGTCAACTATTAGAGCAAGCTCTTAGTGGCACGGCATATTTATTGCGTTTTTGGGTCAACATCGCATCTCCTCAACTTCCTTCCTCCATCCATTCACTTTCTCCCCATGGCCCATTACGATTAACTATAAGTAAGCTTTGTACCTAATGATATTTATATCAAATCGAAACATAATTATATTGCGTACTTTATAGGGTTCCGTATCTCATAGGAAAAAACGGAATCCTAATAGGATCACTTTGTCCGTATATCTGTCAAGACCCATTTTCTAAAGAACGCGTGAAGGTATCAAGCTGGAATTTATTTTTAAGATAAAATAGCAAATAACATATACACAATAACATAACACATATACATATATAAATATATATATATATATATATATATATGTTATTTGCTATTTTATCTTAAAAATAAATTCCAAAAATATATATGCTATATACTAAAAATACAAATCTTTATAAACTAAACTAGCCGCCAGCCTCTTGGGTACCCTACCGTGCGACCGCAGCGATTTGGGGTCGATTTTTTATATTATTTAGTTTGTTTTAGTTTTAGTATATAGTTTATAGTATTATTTTGGTAGATTAATTTTAATTTAATTAGTCACTTAATAATTAATATTAGAGTTAAGTAATTCATTTTTAGAAATATAACACATTGTTTTGATTTCTTGTGAGATAAACTGAATTTTTTCAATAAAAAAACAATCTTTATCTTAAGATAAAATGATAAATCGACATAATATATTAGTCATAACTAGATGACGAGGCGATTTTTAAACGACTCACAAAAAGGGATAGTTTATTTAGTTTTTTCTGTGACAGAGGTATTTCAATATATTTATTTATTAGGAAGAAAATCCGAAAATGTGACAGTGTATTGACCCAACACTGACCTTAAAATATCGACGTTTGTGTCCCTTCACTATTCATTCTGTCACTGGACTTTGTAACGAAAGCACGTCTTTCGCGAGAAAGGATTTTAATTAATAATGTCTAAAATATAACTACATATGTACATAAAATTTGTTTGTATTTTTACTAATATTTTATACTTAAAATAAATGGTTTCAATAACTTGTAAGTTAGGATTAATTAGCAGAAATTGATCGTATTTTACTGAAGACTTGATTCTTAGAGTCTGTGCAATAGACACTTTACACTTCACCCGTAGAAACATTTTTAAACATTTCTAAAGATTTTTAAACATTTCTAAAAAGAATTCAGACTGGAATAGCGCATAGATTACTTAATTTTTATTGCAGGACACATAGTAAAGACGACGGAAAATATGACGATGGAAAGAGCGGTTGAATTAAGATGAATTTTGGAATTTGAATGAAAATATAAATAGAATTATGAAAATGAAGAGATAAGCACTCACTGTTAAGAGGATATATTTACATCTGATATAAAATACAGAGAAAAAGGAAGAAAAAATATATAAAGTTCCAAATACAAAAACATAAAAATTATGATTAAAAAACGTGTAAAGAGGTTCCGTATCTCTCGGCAGCACATAGTGTAAAATATTTTTTTTCCAGCTGACACCGGCCCATGTGAACCGTTCTCGACATTTCGAATGCAATGCAATCGATGTGTTTGTTCCGCCGATGCTACTTTGTTTTGCACTAAAATGTTTTGCGGTAAACCAGGTAACAATTAGTAATAGTACTAGGAATACTATTGTTGTCATATTAAGCTAGCAACACACCGACACATAATTTTAACTGGCCAGTCAAACTGTACAGTGAGCCTAGCACGAATATTTATGACAAATGCCATCGAGAAAGATTTTATTAAAATACTAACTGTCGCTCACAACTCCGTCCACGCGGAATTAAAAAATAAATAAATTAGTAGCCTATGTGTTCTTCCAGACAACGTTCTATTTATATGCCAAATTTTATCGAGATTCGTTCAGCCGTTCTGGAGATACCTTCAAGCAAACATTTATCCATCCATTTAGGCAATCGCATTTATAATGTTAGTAAGACATAGTAAAGAGTGCAGCCCTATCGGGCGTAAATTACACTAAAGATCTGATACTAATTTTGACAATTCACGATGATACGAAGGTGATTGTCAGAAACATTCAAGCTAGACCCTCCGTTCTTAGTTTTGCTTACACATGTCAGTTTTAAAGGTTCAACTGTTCATTTTAAAATCAACGTGTGTAGCTGGCTTTAATATATCTTTTTAATTTACTAATATCAAATTTTGTTCCAGGATCCGAGCACAATAAAATAAGCGAAGAGAACGTATAATCGGTGAAAAACTGAATGTTTTATAAATATACATTTATTTAGTATTTAAAATTTTTATAATAAAAATCAGATTTTTTAATAACATATATTTTTATTTATATTTGTGTTCTGCAACGAAAGTTTGTTACAAAAGATTTATTTTACTATATTTTTTACTGATTTTTGACTTTCAGTAAAGTAATTGTTCAAGCAAGCCGCATGAATAAACTCTTTGACACCTTAAATGTCTCGGAATATTTTTAAAAGATAATGTGAAACGTGAAGAAAGATAAAAATAATTTCATATCAAAAAGAAAAACTATATACAACTCAAGCCTGTAACCCAGAAGAGTAGGCAGAGACCACGGACCTCTATGTATCGTGACCATATGAACCTACGCAATCCATTTTTCGCCGATTTTCAAATCGAACGGACGGGTGACTAGTCGCGTTTCTCACGAAAATTCACACATCTGAATTGCTTTGCTGATGCAAGTTGCATCAGGATGACCTTCACTGTAAGAACATTGTCATACAGTTATAGATATAAAAAATTATAATTAACAATTCAAATTAAACATCTATGGCCTATCATTTAAAACTAATCTATACTAAATTTATCGCACTTTACTATCATAAATTTACTGACGAAATTGACTGTAATATAAACCTAAAACTATAAAACAGGTGAATCCGTGTGCTACAAACTACCCCCAAGCGTGCTATGCGTTGTCCGTTTTACAAATTATTTATTTCACTTGAAAAACCATTAATGAAATATGAACTTTATGCTAAAGTTGTTAGAGTTTCTTTTTATAATATTAAAAAGTTATGCTGTAAAATAAATTAGTATAGCCTTTGTGCGCAAACTTATAAAGCTTGTTTAAGACCTTGTAAATTATTAGTTTATTAATCCGTTTAGGTTTAGTTTTATTGTATCAACTTGCGTTTCCATTGTTAAAACATTTGTATATTATCATAGCTTTTTAAAAGTACATAAACAGTTGTTTTCGCGCGTATTTCATACGAGCTATCTCCAGTGACTTTAAAAAAATATAATAAGTAACCTATGTGTTCTTCCAGACTATGTTCCATATGTGTGCCAAATTTCATCGTAATCCGTTGAGACGTTCTAGAGATACCTTCAAACAAACATCCATCCATTTAAACAATCGCATTTATAATATTAGTAAGATAGTCGTCGATAGTACATTGAGACTAGACATGTGTAATTCAACTGAAAAATATGTCCAGATTAATGAATCGATTCGCAGCTTAACTCAGTTTATACCTGCATAGAGTTATCATTTAAGTTTCAAGCTGCGAAATGCGAGTTTACAAGCAGCTCGCGGCTCATCGACTCACATCGAGATGAGCTATCAATTTAGTTGTTGAACTGGAACTCAACGATTCAAGTTTGCTAAACTTTTGAACTGATTCAGAACTGATTTACACATGGCTAATTGACACCCATCGAGTTTTCCTGTAGTCTAAACACTTATATCTATAAATGGATAGGCGATTGCTTGGAAATTACAGCTTTACGTTTGTTCTGATTAAAACGCGCCTGTTCTTGTCACGTGATAATTCTAACTATATTACTAGTTTGAATAACACACCACACCATCGCTACAAACTGCTATCATCAACGCCAAAATCAAATAAGCTCAAAAAACTGTTTAAGCCAGTCCATTTATAGAAGTCAGAAAATCGAAACGATTATACCCATTATAAAAAGTAAAGTATCATTCGATTCTTATATTTCTAAACGTCATGGTGAAAGCAGTTTTGTAGTTTTTTTTTAATTAAGACTTTTTACTAAACTGGCAGAATACACTGTGTTGGTTACCATTTGATAAAAAAGTCAACTAAAACTTAGTATTTTCTGCGTTTTGCCAATGAAATAAGAATAGCTCAAGTTTCAAGTTGAACCACTGCTTCCATATTCCCGCGGGCACCTAGCTATCGTTTGTTCTACGCACACACAGAATTCGGGGCACAATTTGCTCTCTCGAATACATTTCACGCGTGAGTGTCCTTCAAGTTAAACCTGTATGTTTTCATAAAGAAATATAAACTCTATTAAATGGTAATAAGGATTATTATCATTTGAATAGTGTCTGAAATTTAGAAGGAGAAATAATACACGCTTAGATGTGAGAAATTTCATTTGAGACGATTTCGCGATTTTCTTCTAACTCCCTTGAGGACTAGCCGTTGATTTATCTTGAAGATATTTGGCTATATTTTTTCTTTTTAGTTTTTCTTAAAATTATTTAACCTACTGTTAGGAATAAAATCCGATACTGTGACGGTGTACTGGCACAACACTAGCCTTATTACAATGTCGACGTTTATGTCCCCTCACTAATCATTCTGACACTTGACTTTGTAACTAAATCACGCCATTCGCGCCAAAGGATTCTAACTAATAACGTCTAAAAATACTAAGAGCAAATATAACTATTGTTATAAATATATGACGTCATCAATGTAAGCTTTAGTAAAAACATCAAAATTAACGAAACAACTGTGTTTTTATTTAAGGTTTTAAATGGCATTTGACTATTTGTATTTGTGCCAGTATTACTGTATTTAGTTATGATATATTCTAACTTAAACATCACATAGCGGCCAAAGTGTTGACTATATTAGGAAATTATTAATTAAATTACCGAAGCGTTCATGTTTCCCAAATGTTAGCAGAATTAGACGCCACGTCCAAAACTACTGGTTACTTAAATAGCAAGTTCTACATGGGCGGTGTGTAGGTGCTCTACCTTAGGATGTAAATTACACCGTAACGTAATCCTCACCAATTAATCCTGTATATTTTTTACATTATCATCATCAGCTCACTATACGTCCCCACCGAGAGGCTCAGAGCCTTCCCTAAGTTATGGGTGACTAGTCCATAGTCAACCACGCTGGCCAAGTGCGTGTTGGTTGACTTCACACATATCTTTGAATTTCTTCTCAGATATGTGCAGGTTGCATCACGATGTTTTCCTTTCAAGACTTTTGCAATAATATAAGAACATGTGTTGTCTATAGTTAATTAAACAAAGGAGAGAATATACTAAAAATATTATTTCACTTTCCAAATAATGTTAAGTAAGAATCTAGCAAGTTTACAGCAACTATAATATTTTAAGGAAATAATAGCCGAAATACGAGGGAATGATAAAATAAAAAAAAAGTTCAAATTTAAATCATTTAAAAAAGATTTAAAACCAACTTCTACACAAATAATTACGATTCAAATATAGTAAATTTATTTACTATAGTTACTTCACCTTATTACTAGTATAAATAAATTTGTAACAAGTTATGGTAAACACACAGCAAAGGGATATTTGAACAATCTAATATCTGTTCGCAACTGTGTGATAGACGGTCGTGTTTAATATTCGAATTAATAGCGAGGGATTTAACTGCGCGAGCAATCAATTTGCGGTGTAATTCGACAAAGCGTTTCGTTCCGTTCGCATTCAATTAGTTTTGTGTAGTGGCTGCGAAGTTTATATAGAACGCTTTGTTGCTCGACGGTGCATTATCGAACTAACGAATTTCGAGTTTCAATCGTATTAGTTTCCAATGGTTATGTTGTTTGTTCAATTTGTTACTTTTATTATTCACAAAGCTTTGAATTTTGCATTGTTAAAACTTTTATTTTTATATATAATCTAACTTTTTTTTTATATTATAAGGTGGCAAACAAGCAAACGGAAACCTAAATTAGTCGAAATGGCGAAGCGAACTTTGCCTGTAGACATCCGCAATTGCAGATGCGTTAAAGGTACTATTTCCCCTTCCTATTATTCCGCTCCTCCGTCAAAGTCTCTTTTCCTTCACATCCATTTCTTATAAGATCAGATTCTCTCTCACACTCGTCGATGAAATTTGGCATGGTTGTAGAACATAGCCTGAAAGAACACATTTGCTATTAATTAAGTTTTTTTTAATTCTGCGCGGATGGAGTTTAGGGCGACATCATTTTTTATAAACTGGACAAAATGGACATTTTAAAAGGAAGGATTTTATAATAAAATTACAACGCACTCTATATCCGAGATTGCGATCTTGTAATCGGCTTACATTAAGCGAACCGTTGCCTATCCGGGGACAAATTGATTCTTTCAGTGAAAGGAAAGAAAGCGTAATATAATTTCTCACAAAGAAATGAGGGATATACCATTTATATTTATTTACAACGGCTCTTAATGGCCGAGGGTAAATCCGATTTGTGAATTTTATTATCTTTAAATATAATAAAAATCTAATTTTTCTCATTTATTTTAAAATAAAAATTGAAAAAAAAATGCTAAAGTAAAATATTTAATGACACGAATTAATAACTTTTATTTACACAAAGTGACTAGCTGTCGCCCGCGACTCCGTCCGCGCGTTATTTAAAATAAACAGTGGCCGATTCTCAGACCTACTGAATATACGTATTACATTTCATAAAATCGGTCAAACATTGTGACAAGAGAATTTTACATATAAGATTTAAACCTTACATAAATCCCGTACATAAAACGAAATAAATGTAGTTTTTTTTTGCAAGACTTCATTTTGTAAAATTAATATTGAAGGAATAAAAAAATATGAAAGTGTAAAATGAGAAACAATAAGGTAAAAATCGTTCGCTTGATAAATTCCCGATGATATTACTGGGGCAATTACCGAGCACTCGGAGCAGCCATCGATTTGAAGGAGCCAATGAAAATACTAGATATCGCTACGAAGCAAAGGGTGGGGCAACACTGTAAACTTATAATTTGACATTTTTTGCAATTAAACAATACTTAATTACATTTTAACTAGTTACTTTTCACCACATCACAAACATGCGTTATAAGTTAGAGTTTCCGCGTTTTGTCTGGTATAAAATTAATAAAATTCTAGCCATCTTTCCTCTTCCCATGGTACTGGCGCATGAATGAGACAGCTTAACTGGTGCACAACCACAAAGACACGTTTATAGCGGACTTAATTCCGCGTTTCGTGTAATAAGAGTGCATGTCGGAGGCTTAATTCTAGTCC